TACAGCTGATGTTYCAGCTATGCTTTGAGATTAATCTTTAATGCACAGCATCTACAGTTTAACTTTAGTTATATTTAAAAACAAAAAAAGAAAAAAGCTTTATTTTTATATGCAATTTAAGACATTGTTAGTTCCATTTCTGAAATGTGCAATCATGGAATGAAAGTCATAAGTCTTTCTGGGGAAGATGTCCAGATTCTATGTCCAGATTCAAATAGTACTTTGGAACAAACTTTTGCTTTACCTTTAGCTGTTCCTTCTGTTGACAACATGTGAGCTTCCTGCAACACTCTGTGTTGACGTGGGCATGAAGRTAGAGCTGTAGAGCTCTGAAGTGTCTCTGTCTCTTATTATAATCAGCAGACTCATGCCTCTCCTATCACTTTGCCTTTTCCTTTTAGTTTGGTGTCAAAGATGCAGTTTTAGACTGTTTAGACATATATGCTCCTTTTCTCTCCCTCATTGATTGATTTCATATTTAAAAAAACTTAAAATGAGATACTTGATATCATCTCCTGTTTAAAAATATTTAATTAGTTGCATTATGTTTTTATGCCTCTACAAAGTACACTTCTTTCAAGTGGCTATATGGGTAACAATATAAAAGATCAGTTGTGAGGTTTTCTGGTTAACTCTTCTTTTGTGGCTTAATGAAAAACTGATTTAAAAAACAAAAAATCACAAAAGAAAAGTTCTGAGTTTATCACAGATAGTGAAAAACATTTTGTRCCTCCTAATATGCGTAATAGGACTTCAGACCAGAAGAGCCCAATGAATCTGTTTTGACATGATTGCCTGTGGTTGGAGGGATAGACTTGGCAGCTGGAGTGTTTCTTTGGTTACTGTAGTGTTAAACTCACTACACCCCCAAGCACTCATCAGGGCTTCCTTAAGGCTAGAATGACTGTGTGTGGCTGAGTCATGCTTGAACCTTTGCCTTGCAAGGAAAGTGTGGCTTTCAGTCACCAGTGTGGCTGGTGACTGAAGGGTGCGTGGGAGCAGCCCAGAGCCTGCCAGTGCCTGGGGTGCCAATGTGAGCAGCTGGATGCAAATTAAGTCGCCTCCACCAAATACCATAATTTGCATCTAGGGAAGAACAGGTCTCAAAGCCACAGGACTGGTGAATGCAACAGGTACCTTGACTTCTAGAGCTTCACATAGATAATTCTTCATACAGACTCAGGTGAAAAAATGTTTTTTATATACATTTTTCTAACATAAGAGCACATGAGACAAAATAGGAGATGTGGAGCTGTGTGGCAAATGGGTCAAATGTTGACTGGATGTCCCCACCTTTGACTGTGCTCTGCTACTTCAAAACTAGTAGTAGCTAAGACTTTACATAMGAGTACGTGGAGGAACTGTGGTTTTGGAGGTTCATAAAGAATCTAGACTGTKTAAGATGACTAGATAAAGTGGAGATGTGAATCTCTATATAAACTGCAAAATGGATCAATTAAGCAGAGACAAAACTGTGTTATCTTGAGAGATTCACAGACATTCAACAGGGTGAGAGAGTATAGAAAATAATTCTTCTGAGGTAGCCAAAATCCCAGTGATGCTAGTTTGAGGCGAGTCTCCTTGCAGATCACCAGTTTGGTGATTGCATTGAGTTGMTACATTTTAAAAAATGTCCGTCCCTCCAAGGCACCAGCTGGATTTTCTTCATCAGGCGAAAGGTGGAGATGAAGCTGAAGTGCCTAAGGGTYGATCATTTGTCTTGCCTGTGTGCCTGGCAGTGCTGATGATTTATGTGTTTATGACACTTGCCATGGTAACAGCATGGTGGTTGAACATTAGCAGAAGACAATTCATGTAGAAATGTTAGCATGATCATTTCAGTCACTGCATGCCAGCTTGAAATGTATTCCATACTGATAGGCTTTGCGTTTAACCTCTTACAGCAGTCTCTTCTTGGGGGAATTTTCTTTTATTTTACTTACCTTCTAATGTCTTGAGCATTTCCCTGAGGTGGAGCAGTTAGCAGCTCCCAGACCTGGGAGTCACCTCAACATTCTGCTCATTTCCCCAAGAAATGCAGGTGTTTCRTACCACACCTAGTTGCAGGACTGCACTCTTCCATTATGGAAGTGCAGCTATTAACTAATATTCAGAGAAGAAAATTAGGAGGTTGAAGTTGCTACCAGCTGGCAAAAGGTTTGCATACAAATCATCTGCTTCCCTCAGGAACAATTAAATGAAATCAGTTATATTTGCATATAAAATAGCTGATCTTTTTTCTCATCTGAAAATAGGTTTTATAAAACTCTCTTTTTTTGTCTCCTCATAAGAAACCTCATGAGAATTATTTAATTGGAAAGCTTAAATCTGCTCTTCTATAACCAAATAGAAAATGAGGTTTTGTATATATTTTTAATAATATTCACAAATGGGAGCTTTAATAGCTTGGTTATCTGAAGAGAAATTGTATTTAATATTTTTAATGAATTTATAATACTTTGTGAAGTTATTTGTGCTCATTAATTTAAAAATTAGTTTTAGGTATTTTAAAGGAATCTTATTAACTAGTCTAGACAGCAATAAAGAACTACAGTGGAAGTGAGRCTAACCTTCTTAAGTGTATTTAACTCATGAGAATTTGTTTATATATATTTTTCTTTTTTGTGCAGGAAATACATGTTTCCAGGCTATTTTTAATTGTCAAAGTTTAGTCTAATAACATGACTCTGGGTATTGAGTTACAAAATACAGTAAGAAAGTCTGCCTAATATATTTGCTTAGGATTTTTTTTTCTTAAACCCAACTTGAAAGTAACTTCATACTCGATCTCCATGTTTCCTTAGCATCTATAAAAGCGATTCTGATCCATTTCACCTGCACTGAACCTCATCCCTACTTTRCTGATCGATACCTTGCCACCTTCTTCCTGGCAACCAGCGGGCTGGCTCCAGAGCTCTTAGGCTACATCTACATTAGCTTAGAATTTAGCCCTTTCTGCTTAGAGATTTTGGCTAATGGATGTGTGGCTGACAAGCCACTGAACAACAGAATATTTTCCAGATCAAGAGCTTTCACAGCTAAAATCATGACTTGTTATAGGAGATCTATGGATCTATAGCTGGAAGTCCATGTGACTTTCTTCCCTCAGGTGGCTTGGGGTCATTTTAAAACATATCCGTTAATGAGTCTTGTTGATAAAGCACAGTGAGGTAGRTCAGGCAGTGGGTGTTGGCACGTCTCAAGATGCCATCCTTGAGGTCCTACCTAGGGGCATCTGGACATTGGCAAAAAAGACGCTCCAACCTGTATTTTCTCAAGGGGCTGCTCCAGAACAAACTCTTCCTTTTATGCCTTTAGTATTAAAGCAGTCTTAATACTTCAACCAATGTATGTTTTCTAGTATTGCTACTTGACTGAATAGGTTGTAATTTCACATGTCAGCTCTGAAAGAGGTCTTACTAAGTCAGCCAACTGCTTTTTCTTTCCATGTGTGAAGTTTACTGTATCACTCTGCTTCCAGGCCTGGTAGGGTCATCCTWGCATCCTTTTCATTGTAAAAGCAGAGTCTGGAATTAAAATTGAGGCTGGAGATACTATTTTGTCCACATTTTTACTTTCATTAAGCCTCATGACTTGTTATAAAACCAAAAGTTTCCTTTCCTCAGTAAGTGTTTCAGTATGTGATTATTTCACTGCCTACTTCACTTTTGTTATATCTCTGCCATATACAAAAGACTTGCTAAAATGCCTGGTTTTCAAATGTAAGTATAAAAAGGCCAACATTTCAGGCATAGTTTAGGTCAAATTTAGGAGCAGTAAAACTCTTAATCCCATTATTGGGTCCTACTGTTACAGTAGGAGAATAAGGTTAGGGAACAGAGCAGTGTTGCTAGGAGATTGGTACATGATCTTTTTGGTCCCAAGTCCTACACAGACATCCTAGTTCTGCTAGCCTCCAAAAGATGGGCATTTTACTAAGCTTTTGCATAATGAAGTGGACTTTTTTGCCTGACTTTTCTAGGAAAACGAGTTACTTCATCCTCTCTCCTCATCTCTTTCTTTTAACAAATGTGTTAGCTTTTTGATCAATTTCAATCAAAACTGATGAAAACAGTAAAAATTTCAAAAATATTTGCATTCTACTCCAGGCTAGCCTGATAACTGGTCCCTGAGCGGCCCTGAGGCTCCCTTTCATTGTTGTCTCAGTGTTGGTGGCCAGCTGGAACACCAATGCACCTTCAGTGCCAGGTTCTCTGTCCTGACCAGAGGCGAGCTGAGGACACCACAGGAAGAGAAGGTTATTSAGACAGGAGGGCCAGGGGGCCTGAAGGATGGGTGCAGAGCTCAGATAACTCCACTACGGACCACCYTGCAGTAAGAAATCAATCGTTATTGTGCCCACTGACATGGCTTGAAGAGATGCTCCTTGTCTCTCAGGAACTTTGTCCCTTAACCTCTGGGACAGGGTAGGTTTTTTTGGCTTTATTTTAATTGCCTCTCTAGAGGCTGCACCTTTTGTATAAATAACCCACTACTCAGGGGAGTAACACCAGGAACTTCTTAAAGAATACCAGAAGATGCAACAGCCATAACTATTGAGTAGTTATATTATCTGGTCTGCTGAATATTTTATTCAAAAGTTCAAAAAGGAAAACCACGTTTCTCAGTGAATTAAAAACTCAGTTTTGGGGTGGGGTGAATAACTCCCAGTGAAGCTGTTGCTGCTCCTGCTTGTGTGTTAGTTACCAGTCTTATATTTTAAAATAAAAGGAGAACAATTTCTGAAAGTTTTTGAGTAGAGTGGGCCTAAGGAAAGGTAATCCTGTTCTGAGGAGATGAGGAGATTTTAGATTTTTTTCTCTCTCTCTCTCTCTTTTTTTTTTTTTTTTTTTTTTTTTTTTTTTTTTTT